GGTGGGGGGGCAGTCAGGGGCGGGGGTTCTGAGGGCGGTCAGGGGAGAGTGAGCCGGGCGGGGGGGGGGTGGATGGGGCAGGGGGAGCAGATAGGGGGTGGGGTCTGGGCCACGCCCCCTTCCCCTAACCAGCCCTCTATACAATTTCAAAAACCTGATGCGGCCCTCAGGCCAAACAAAGTTTGCCCGCCCCGATCTAAAGACTCTTTTTTCTTCATTACTTAAATTTGTGCTCCCCATTTATCACAGTCCAATTTTGATTAATTTCCTTTAAAAAAAAGTTTAGCTTCAATTAGTAAATTACACACAAGTATAAGTATACCAAAAAAATTAGATTACATTACCTCCGGATCTTTATTCCATTGCACTACATATTCCCAACAACAATGCGTGTGTAGTATATCCAATTCAAGACTACAAGGAAACTGCTGATATGCTAAATGCAGCAACTCTAAAACATAATTGAAGAAATTAGAGACAACTTTTTCATCCTATTCATAATTTCTACTAATTAAAAACAACTCAGTCCCCTGAGAAGAAATTATTTTGTATTTTTACCTAGGATTGTTTCCATGCCCGTCTCTGCTCCTTGTTTCTCAAGGGAAACATTCCTGTCAATTTCTACAGGTTCCTCTGTACTTTCTGTCTCTTTTTTCCGTTGTGCCAGCTTCAGTATTATGGGACTGAAGTCTTGTTTGAAAATCCATTTTGCTACACTGTCAGCAATACCTCCTAAGATGCAAAAGGAAAGTATAAGGCACAGTCAAAGTTTGCCAGCTACATTTTAGAGGTAGTAAACTTGGATCTAAAACATAGATAACAAGGGAAGAGACTCATGTATTTGTTAACACAAATCATTAATTGTATAATTTTTATGTCAATTAGAAGATCTCAATCAAGTAATTGGTTAGAAGCCTACAATGCAGTCTCCAGAAAAGAAATGAAGTATGTAATTTTTACTATTTTAAAATAATTAATTTAATTAACATAACCCCAGTGGGACTACTCCCAAAATAAGGTGCCATTCACTGGAGTAAGAGTAATAGAATCTGGCCCTGAGTTCAGTGAGAAAATTAATCAAATCTGCTTTGCAAGAGAGTATACCTTTCCCTCCTTCAAGCAACTTCTTTACAGAGAGTCTGCAGAGTGGCTCAGCCTGCAGAGATGATACTCTGGTTATCCTTGTTCTCACTTTACTGTGCAGTAGTATCTGAAGTATGAGACAATCTTCTAATTGTTTCAGCAGAAGTTTCCAATATTCAGTATCAAGGGAAAGTGCTTCCCAGGAATCTGTGTCAGCACCTACAACTGTTTGGGAAAACTAACAAAGGAGGTTGTTTGTGAGCTTTCTGCAGACCAGCTGTAGATGGAGAATGAACAGTTACACAAAATAAATCAATATTCAAATTCGCTCACAGGTCTTACAATTTCTTAAATAGACGTATACATGTAAAAGTATCCACATAAAATGTGCAAACCTCAGTCTGTCTCTGGCCAAACATCAACCTGTACACCAGACGCCCTCTTACACCTACTTTCCCTACATCATATTCATTTTGAACATGGGCTACAAAAAAAAAAAAAATTACCACCCTTTCCTCACCAACTACTTTCCATTGATACCAATATCTTGCACATTTACCCTTCATACACAGACTTAACCTTCCACCATTTCAACTTCCCACTATATCCAAAATTCCAAAACATTTCACCTAAATACAGTTCTATCATCTTTTCTATATAAAAACATCATGATTTTAGATTGTGATATCTTTGTGCCTTCCATGTCTATAAGCAATGCTTTGTTTTGCATTGAAAACCTGGGAACCTGCAAATACCTTTTGCAATCAATGGTGCAAAGTTCCAATTTCTAGCTCTGTAGAGTCATGATGAGATATTGGACCCTAAAGCTGTCAGCTGTCCAGGTCTGAATATCAACTAGGCCTCAGATCAATATATTTCTTGGGAGGAAATTCCACTTTGGGGAAAAGGAAGAAAACTTTTGTGGTGGTTAGATTTTTATTATTATTATTTTTAAATTGGGGCTGTTTGAAATTTAAGGGTGGATTTGAAATATTAGTCTAAATCTTGGCAAAGACGGATTAGTGAGCAGAATACATGCCCGGCATTAAAAATGGGTGCACAATAAATACAATCCATCACATCAATGGGTGAATTAGAGCAACATTAATGGGACACATTCACTTAAAAAAAACCCAAGCTTCTGTTTAATATTTTTAGCCCACTGTTTCAAATAGCAGATACAATTACTACTATAACAGATTAGAAACAAAATGATTCCCCTCTCCTCGCCCCCCAGTAGACTTTGGGGGAAATTTACAAGGCACTTAAATTCCAGCTACTCTGTCAACATAGGGCGTAAGTGATGCATAAGTCTCATGCTGGACCTCTGTGCAGGAGTGAATTTCAGCCTTTGGATATTTGACAGCAGTTTGTGTACAGTCAGTTTCACACTTTCTCCTGTACAGTTAATTTTTTCTCTTGCTGAAAAGACCCTTCTTATAAACAACAAGAGAGCAGCATAATGCTTTTAATACTTAAAAAAATCTGATTATTATGGAAGGGGATTTAGATAATCAGGAAGTTTTTTTTTTAATTAGTCAATTTAAAAATATTCACACTGTCAGAAATTGGCAGTTAGGCAGGCTGAGTATCCAAAACAACTTAAAAGTTTAGTTTTTGAAATCAAACTAGGCTTCCAGCTGGTGTCCCTCTAAGTGTCTCTTTTGATCCTGCAAAACTTCGACTTATTCAATGTCAAGAGACACCCGTCAATTCACACTGTAAAACATACTGTAGGTATCTCCAGATAGACATTGCAAGCTATTACGGTATACAATTCATGTACCTTGGCAGATTAATTTGCAAGTTCAAACACAAGTTTCCAGGCTTTTGTTCCTTTGAATCCTATCCCAGAGCATTGTGTGTTTTGTGCTGGTTTCTGAGTGTTACTGAGTGAATGGCAGGATATTCCTCCCCTCATAAGGGCAGGAGCTTTGCATGAATCTGATACAATTATTGCTGAAGGGAGGGAGAAGTCTCAGATTTACTTACTTTTTTTTCTGCCATACTGTCAGTGATCTGTGCAGTTACAGAATGCCCAACGTGTGCAGATAATAAGGCAGCTCCATTATTTTCAGACTGAATACAAGCTGTGCGCATTTGCTGCCACCAGGGGGAAACTGATTGAGAATCCCAAGACTCATCTATCGCAACTGTAGAAACAAAGGGAGGAGAAAAGATCACCTGGCTGTGTTAAGAGATAAACTAGCAGAATAACAACTTGACTTTGGAAGCTGAATTTGCCTTTAACCGTTAAAACATAAGGTGGTTAAATACAGCATCTGTAACTGAACAAATTCACTTAATCTGTAATAGCCACCAAGTTATCTCTCTCAACTTTTCACCCACAATTTCTAGATCTCAACCAGCCTTTATAATGAAGTGCAGAGTACGAACTACTGAGATTTCATCAAGTCCTGGTTGAAGGTTTGCAAAATATGATACAAGTCACCAGGCAGTGAAGTCTGCTGTACATTTCTAATGTATCCAGTGGATAATATAACTATAAAGTGCAGTGCTGTACTAGGGTTGCCAACTTTCTAATCCCACAAAACCAAACACCCTGGCCCTGCCCCTTCCCCAAGGCCCCACCCCCACTCACTACATTCCCCCTCCCTCAGTGGCTCACTCTCCCTCATCCTCACTCACTTTCACTTGGCTGGGGTTGGGGTGCAGGAGGGGGTGAGGGCTCTGGCTGGATGTGGGGTTTGAGGTATAGGAGGGGGTTCCAGGCTGGGCGGTGGAGCTGAAGGGTTTGGAATGTGGGAGGGGGCTGCGGGTTGAGGCAGAGGGTTTGGTTGTGGGAGGGGGTACAGACTCTGGTCTGGGGGTGAGAGTCTGGGCAGGGGCCGGGGATGAGGGGTTTGGGGCACAGGAGGGGGCTCCAGCCTGGGGGGTGGGGCTGAGGGATTTAGAGTGTGGGAGGGGGCTGGGAGTTGAGGCAGGGGTTTGGGGTGCAGGCTCTGGGGTGGGACCAGGTGTTTGAGGTGCAGGAGTGGGCTCTGGGTTTGGGGTGACTCAGCTGGGGCAGGGGCTTAGGGTTGGGGTGCAGGCTTCCCTCAGGTGGCTCCCAGTCAGCAGCACAGCAGGGCTAAGGCAGGCCCCCAACCTGTCCTGACACTGCGCTGCACCCCGGAAGCGGCCAGCAGGTCCGGCTCCTAGGCGGGGGAAGGGAAGGGACAAGGCTCCGCGCACTGCTCCCACCCACAGGCACCACCACCCCAGCTCCCATTGGTTGCGGTTCCCGGCCAATAGGAGTGCGGACACCTGGCAACCCTATGCTGTACTGAAGTTGCAGAGATGTGCAGTCAGTAAATGCTCCAGAGCAATGATCTCAAAATGGATGTTGTAGTTGTAGTAATGGGGCTGAACAAAGGCATTCTGGAAGGCTTGAATAGGAGGGGAATAATTAATAAGTATGGATAAAAACAACCACCACACACATCAGGCCCAGGATCAAGAACTTTTGAGGGGGAAGAACCCCCAAATGCACTCCACTACAGGACTGTTCTCAGAAGCCAAGGTGGTGGCTGTAGAGAGAATGGGAGATGGTTTGAAAAGGGATATCATTAAAAGAAAAAGAAAAACCAAAATATTTTTTAAAAAAGGAAATCCCTCCAGAGACATCAATCACTTCAAACTGACACTGGAACCAAGGTCCTTAAATCTCAGTGGTTCCAAGCCAAAATTTCAAATCTTCCAGTCACTATAAGGGGAAAGTCTTGAATTGTAATTTTAAATAATCCTATGATTTGATAATTATAAAATGCAATCAAGCAATATTTAGTTGGGTTTGCTTTATTTACAGAGTAGTACAGATTGTCAGAGTGAATACTAGTTTTATCTGACAGTGATATTTTAAGATTATGAATGTGTATTTCACCTTTCATTTTGCTCAGAAGGGACAGCATAGTGTGAAGACAGCAGATAGACTGTGGTTCATCTAGAATATCTTTTTCCTTGGAAAGCCACACACTGAGAAGCAGAGACTGGGGGGGAAAAAGTGGAATATTTATTACATCAAACGTTATTATTCCTTAGGGTTGAGTGAAAATGTATGATCCCCGGAACCATGTTATAATACATCAACACAAAGAGTTCACTGGTGTGCTGCAGACGATACGTCACATGACAATGCTTTTAAGTGTAACAGTACCACATTTCAGCAATCTTTCAATTACAAAAAAAAGACCCTCTGGGACAAACTCCTCTCATGAACTGGCAGACAGACAATTGCAGTAAAACAGCCAATCTCAACCTGGACAAAATTAGTATCAGGTTATTATACAGATTGCAAAATAAAGGCAGGGAGCAGCAGTTTCTTAAAACGAGAAAAGATTAAGATCAGTGCTTCAGTCATAAGTCTGGGGTACGAAAGTGACAGAGTTAGGAGAAGAGGAAACATGCAAAAGGCAATGAACATAGGCTGCAAGAAATGAGCATATGTAGTTGAAGTTAAAAGTACACATATAGTACAGAAGCCAAACTAGGATTTGGTGGTGGTGGTGGTGGTGGGGTTTTGGGGGGGGGGGTTGCGGGGAGGTAATTCACTGATCAAATAAATTGTTTTCTAAAATTAAAGGAGTTATAGTAAGGCAAGTAATGAATGTTAGCTAAACAAGTAGTTATTTGTAGAGGACTGTATATTAAGATTTGTAAAAGGTAATACAAGGGTTTGATGCATTTAATATTAGTGACTGAAAGACCAGTTTTAACTATTATGTTATCTTCTCAACCCAGCTACAAAGAGTCCTGTGGCACCTTATAGACTAACAGAAGTACTGGAGCATAAGCTTTCGTGAGTGAATACCCACTTCGTCAGACGCATGTGGTGGAAATTTCCAGAGGCTGGTATAAATATGCATACAAGAATCAGTCTAGAGATAACGAGGTTAGTTCAATCAGGGAGGATGAGGCCCTCTTCTAGCAGTTGAGGTGTGAACACCAAGGGAGGAGAAACTGCTTTTGTAGTTGACTAGTCATTCACAGTCTTTGTTTAATCCTGAGCTGATGGTGTCAAATTTGCAACTGAACTGAAGTTCAGCAGTTTCTCTTTGGAGAAAGTTTTTTTGCTGCAGGATGGCTAATTACTCTATAGACTTCTAATTATATTTGGATTCAATTAACCCTTTAGTATCAAGAGTCACAATTCCTAATACTCATGCAAAACAACAGAAATGTTGAGGAATAGCTAGTTTAGATGTTCTAAACATCATAGTGCAATGCTAATTAAAAAATTTCTTGTGTGTATAGTTGAACAAACCTATAAATTACAGAAGGCAGTTACTTTACATTAAGCTTTGGTAGTCTTTGTGATCTTTCCAAAATTGCAAGTAATGGTATTCATATTTATTTGGACACAAGATGCTGACTGAGTGATTCCTCTAACAATCGCCCCAAAACTACTACAGAGATTATGGCAAACTGTGCTGCTCTCTGGCAGACTCTCACTTCATGAACACACAGTCTTGAGTCGGATACTCTACCTTAATAAAGGTTACATGAATGGAATAGAATACTTGCAACATGCAAAATACAAATGGCAAATAAAAGTGATTCAACTCTGAAAAATGACTAAATTAGACATTAGGAATATTAAACATTTTCCATCTTAGTATGTCTTTGCCTAGATAATTACACATTTAATCAGTAACAAACCTATTACTAAATTTGCAGAATATAGCGCTTTAGATTGTTACCTGGTATTAAATCCTACAGAAGACTGAGGCCAGGTCTATGCTAGAAGCTTTGGCCAGAATAGCAATGTTGGTTAGTTGTGTTATTTTTTTCTATGCTTGCAAAAGCCCTACTGTAGACAAACGAATACCAGCATAAAAGTGCTTGTACTGTAGGGCTTATTCCACTCGCTAAACAGGTATAAACTGTAACACACAAAAGCACTTCCTTGCAGATGTAAGGTGCATTTATGCTACGAGCATTTTGCCAATATAGCTATACTGCCAAACTTTTAATTATAGGTTAGGCCTTAGTAATCTGTTAAAACCTCAGTTGACTATCAAGCTGCCTTTAATTACACCTGCTTTGGAGGTAAAACTTAGCAGCAGAGCAGGTTACAGGAGAGGGGAAAAAAAAACAGGCAAAATATCTACTCTGCACTATAAAAAATGGTCTGTGCATTTCATAACAAGCCAATTATTTTTTTTTCCCCTTGAACATGAGGGTCTGTCAGGACCCTAAAGTGGGACATAGCCTAGTGTACTGCCTTTACTCTAAAGAGACATTGTCAGCTTAAAGAAACTGATACCCTATATATAAATCTACCTACCTATATTATGTAGATCAAAAGATTTTTTTAAAAATCTAATCTATTTGCCACTACATATGCTGTGTTCACTATTTGCAGCTCTCTCAGGTTAAATGAAGAAAATCAGTTAGTCAGTTTCACTTTCAAGTTCTTATTGCTTTAGTGCTTGGGTTTCAAGCACTGCAGGGAATGTTTAGTTTAAAAATGATTACTTTCACTGGAATTTAAAAGATTAGCCTTAAAAAATGCATTTTTAAAAAACAGTTTTGAAATTACATTTATTTTTTAAAATAATTTCTCACTTGTTTATAACAACTTTTTCTATGTTTGAAATGAAAATGTTTCCTTACCATGTCTCATTCCTCAAAAATATGTATTGCACTTGGATTTATTGTTTATTTTCTGGTATGAAGTATATTATTTCTCACAGCAAAAGAGCCATGAAGAAAACATCTTTAAGATGGCATATGTGTATTCCTGAATATAAACATTATATAGTAATTAAGCTGAAGACATCAGGGGCCAGAACTTAAATGTTTCTATTTTATCCTGAGTTGTACCCATTTTATTACATAACATAATTGACTTAATGCTCTCAAAAGTCCCATTAAGATCTGAGGGATTTACGGACCTGGAAAAGGGCAGAAGGCCAGACACTAACATGCTAAGTGTACATGGTTACACCCAGCGCTTAAAAGTCAATATTGTAAATTGGGAAATTTTTTCAGCATTGACATGTTTAAATTCATGAATATTTTGGGTAAAAAGCAGGAAACACAATTAAATCAGTATCTTACCAATAATAGCTGAGGGCTAAATCCTGCAGACTCCAGTGTATGGCACATTTCCTCTGTGGAACTCTCTCCACACAAACATTTCCAGAAAAAAAAGCTCCCTAAAAAACAAACACCACATCAACTTCATCTACAATGATCAAACACTCAACATGCAGATGACCGGTTCACCAGACAGATCAGGACTTACTGGGCTTGAGGCAAGGGAGCTTTGGGCAAACAGTGGAATATCCTAATATTTTTAACTTTCCTGGGAAGGAAGAAGGAAAGGCTCACTGACCTGCCCAGGTCACAGCCTTTCTTTGGCTGGTGGGGAGCCTGTGGATCCATAGACAGACAAGGAGACACTTCTGGACAGCTATCAGGAAGTGGGATACACAGAGCAGCACTGTTTGGAATGACTATTTTACTCTTACTTCTTTTTTTCCAAAAACAAGGAAGAAGGGAAGGCAAGTAGAGTATGTGGACAAACAGCTATATAACAATGTACCAATTCAGATTATACGTATTATCATTCAATATAGAGAAGAGTTTAAAAGGTAGAGTATGTTTGACAGCAAATTTAGCTGCCAAATAATCCATGCCTGTGTGCCATAGGACCCAGCATAGAGAACCAGAGCTATTTTTGCTGACTCACTCTGGTGTCAGATCATGAGAGTCCTATTAGTATACAAATGATTGGATGTGTCTGAGGCAGAGGGAAGTAGGGGCATAGGGGCTCTCTTCTAGGAAACAAAGCTAAACTCAGGAGAAAGTTTACATTAGGGTTTGTTTTGTTGTCATTATTTATACCACCAGCTTACAGTAACTCAGTTATTGAGACAGCTTGTCTATTGGTGGTTATGGTCAGCGAGACACTTGGTGACTCTGTCCTGGTTTTAAAACCCAAGTACAATATTTTGGAGGAGACAGAGGAAAAGTCCACTGAATTAGACTCTCGGCTACCCTAGAAAGGGCCTTTGGTGTTCACACAGACATAAAGGTAGGCACCCCTGGAATTCTTCAGCTCCAGTTCCTCTCATGAGCCATTTGCCTCACAAATATGCTAATTTGGTATTTGTTAAATAGTTGGGCAGAAGGGCCTAATCTGACATCTGCTAATATGAGGTGCCCTTTGCAGGTGGGGAGTGGCATGAGGGAGTGAGATAGGTGGGCAGTTGAGAAATACTTTCCTTCTCACTCCAAGGAGGCAGCTTGTTACAGGAGGTTGAGAGGCAACACACTGATGTTAATATGATGTTAACTAATAAATTTGTTAGTCTCTAAGGTGCCACAAGTACTCCTGTTCTTTTAACACACTGATGGGAATTCCAGCACCCTGTGTCCTGCAGCTAAGGAGAAAGTGTGGGTTTCTTGCCCTAGCAATGCCCCTTGATCTAACTGGAGAGCCTCTGCCTTCTTTTATTTCAGTGTCTAATTAATAAATATAGTCCTCTGGCTAGTAAATATCCATCCAGTAAATGTTTTGACCCTGTCTTACCCAGCTTTTAAAGTTAAAGTTAGACTAAAACAGAATGAAGCATTAATCTGGCAAACACTAGTCCTTCAAGAGCTCTTACCTAAAGCCACGTATTCTCCTTCATCTAGTTTCTTCACTAGAATCATGTCCTTTTCATATTCTAAATACTCCAAAAACATTTTCACAGGCAATATACCATCTTTGTCATCAGCAAATCGAACGGTGGTTTGGGTGTTCTCTTGCTTGTAGTTTTCCAATAACGTCTGGAGCCTAGCAAACTCTTTGTCATCCAGCCTGAGTAGTTTAGCCAAATCCTTAAAAGCAGAAAGATTAAAACTACAGTAAATAATGACCCTATGTAAATTTATATTTGGAGATATAACCTACTTATTCCCCACATCCAATTTCTCTCCGCTGTACGTGACTAAAGTTTTTTTTAATTAGCCAAAAATCCTTGAGAAAGCAGCCACCTTGCAAATTGGGCAGACATATTGCAAGATTCTGTAATGTATACACAGAGACTTCTGTAATGATACTAAAAGTAACCCAAAATATGAAGTAGAATATTTTGTACATCTATTTAAAGTACTAGACACAGGGAAGATTTGGTCATAAGTTAGTTTCCAGAACTAATTCCTCCTCCCAAAAAGAATAAAGGAAAGCCTTCTGCACTAAGGACAAATGATTGGAGTCAGGAGACATGAGTTCTATTCCTGGCTCTGTCTCACACATTAAGTGACTAAGACCTTGTCTACACTAAATGGAAAAGTTGATCCAAGCTATGCAATTTGAGTTACGTGAATAGCGTAACTCAAATCGACATAGCTTAGATCTACTTAGGTCCACACTATGCGATGTCAACGGGCGACGCTCTCTCGTTGACTCCCCTTACTCTTCTCGATCAGGTGGAGTACAGGAGTTGACGGGAGAGCAATTGGTGGTCAATTTAGTGTGTCTTCACTAGACCTGCTAAATCGACCGCCAATGCATCAATCACCACAGCGTTGATCCTCTGTTAAGTGTAGACCAGCCCTAACACAATGTTTTTAGGAGGCTCAATTAATTAGCATTTGCACAGCACATGAGATCATTGAACAGAAGGTGCCCTAGCCAGGTATTTATTTAAGTGTTTTTGCTTCAGTTCTGCCATCTTATGGTCTTCATCTCCAACTCCCCAAAATGTGTAATTGTTAGGGCTGTCAATTTAATCACAGTTAACTCACGCGATTAACTAAAAAAATTAATCACAATTAAAAAAATGTATCGCAATTAATCACAGTTTTAATCAAACTGTTAAAAAATAATAGAATACCAATTGAAATGTATTAGATATTTTAGGATGTTTTTGTACTTTCAAATATATTGATTTCAGTACAACACAGAATGCCCAGTGTACAGTGCTCACTTTATATTATCTTTTATTATCATTTTCACAGTGGAAATATTTGTAGACAAAACATAGTATTTTTCAATGCATCTCATACAAGTACTGTAATGCAATCTCTTTATCATGAAAGTGCAACTGACAAATGTAGATTTTGTTATATAACTGCACTCAAAAATAAAACAGTGTAAAACTTCAGAGCCTACAAGTCCACTTAGTCTACTTCTTGTTCAGCCAATGGCTAAGACTAACAAGTTTGTTTACATTTACGGGCGATAAGGCTGCCTGCTTCTTATTTACGTCATCTGAAAGTGAGAACAGGCGATCGCATGGCACTTTTGTAGGCGGACAGATATGTTAAACATTTGTATGCTCCTTCATGCTTTGGCCACCATTCCAGAGGACACGCTTCCATGCTGATGATGCTCATTAAAAAAAAATGTGTTAATTAAATTTGTGACTGAACTCCTTGGAGGAGAATTGTACGTCTCCTGCTCTCTGTTTTACCCACATTCTGCTACATAATTCATGTTATAGAAGTCTCGGATGATGATGCAGCACATGTTCATTTTAAGAACACTTTCATTGCAGATTTCACATGCAGATGGTACCAATGTGAGATTTCCAACGATAGCTACAGTATTCGACTCAAGGTTCAAGAATCAAGTGCCTTCCAAAAATCTAAGAGGGATGAGGTGTGGAGCATACTTTCAGAAGTCTTAAAAGAGCAACACTCCTATGCGGAAACTACAGAACCTGAACCACCATAAAAGAAAACCAACCTTCTGCTGGTGGCATCTGACTTAAATGATGAAAATGAACATGAATATGCATCAGTCTGCACTGCTTTGGATCGTTATCGAGCAGAACCTGTCATCAGCATGGATGCATGTGCCCTGGAATGGTAGTCGAAGCATGAAGGGTCACACGAAAGTTTAACATATCTGGCACATAAATAAATATCTTGTAACTCTGCCTACTATAGTGCCATGCAATCGCCTGTTCTCACTTTCATTGTAAACAAGAAGTGGGCAGCATTATCTCTCAGAAATGTAAACAAACTTGTTTGTCTTAGCGATTGACTGAACAAGAAGTTAGACTGAGTGGACTTGTAGGCTTTAAAGTTTTTACATTGTTTTATTTTTGAGCGCGGTTATTTTGTACATAATTCTACATCTGTAAGTTCAACTTTCATGATAAAGAGATTGCACTACAGTACTTGTATTAGGGGAATTGAAAAATACTATTTCTTTTGTTTATTTTTTACAGTGCAAATATTTGTAATAAAAATATAAAAAGTGAGCACTATGCACTTTGTATTCTGTGTTGTAACTGAAATCAATATATTTGAAAATGTGGAAAACATCAAAAATATTTAAATAAATGGTATTCTATTGTTTAACAGCGGGATTAATTTTTGTAATCACTTGACAGCCCTAGTAATTTTCCATTTACTCTATCTGATAAATGGTTAATTCTTTCACAGAAAGAAGTTTTGACATTACTTACATTATCAGAGAGTGGAGTGCTTGGCTGCATGCTCAAAGAATTCAGTTTGCTGACTGACTCATATAGATGCAGCAGCTTTAACTTATTTGCACAAAACTGGAGCAACCCTTCATCAACACACACAAATTCTGGAGAGAGAGAAATAAAGATGCACATTAGTCTGAATGAATGTATGTAATGGAGCTGTGAAATGTTCTTTGTAGCTTCATTAAACTCTTATAAAGGAGTTAGATGACATATGCTCCAGTGTAATGTTTTTGACGCACTGTTGCTCACGATATGATGTTTAATTAGGGTGACCAGACGTCCCGGTAAAATCGGGACTGTCCCGATATTTCGGTGTCTGTCCCGCGTCCCGACTGATCTTTGGTCGGGATGTATTTTGTCCCGATATCTGCCGGCAGCACTGGTTTTTTTTGCTCAGCTGGCAGGACTTGGCTTTTTTTTTTTGCTCTGCGGCAGGCACCGATCCCCCCCTCTCCCCCCCGCCCGATATTTTTCTTCCCCTCATCTGGTCACCCTATGTTTAATTCATGGCAAGTTAAAGTGAGGATGATTTTTGCCCCAAAGCAAAAAGGGTATCAGGCTTATTTTTAACAACAAGAGGGCTGCAATGGGATACTGAACACAAGGCTACAGTAGAGGACTTCTTGTACACCAGCATGTAAAAATCAGGGAAATGCAGGATCCTATAGATTGCAATCCTCAAGTAATTATTCTTTTAAAAACAAACACAAGTTGCATGTACCTTGCAAACTACAATGCTGCGTGAATTTTAGTCTCTCTTTTATCATGCTGCCAATATGTGAATATGATAAATCCCCATAATAAAAAGCTGCAAATAAAGTTTCCAAGACTAAAATTGAGGAAGCACAATGGGCATTACTGTCTTTCAGTGATAAAACAGAAACCATGTTAACAAAAATCAGTAGAAATCCCCTGATATTTGTAATTCTTCAGAGTTTGGAAAAGCAACTAGAAAAACTATGGCAGCCAGCAAACACATATGCAATTGATATCAACCCAGAGTTTAGAATTTTAAAAAGCACTAATACCTCAACACCGTAATAGTTAATTTGACTAAAAAATTAAATGCTTTCTTTTTCTTTTTTATCAAACTAAATAAAGAGCATATTCACAGCTCAACTTCTTGTGCAAGTTGAAAGGCACAATGGAAACACCAAATTAAGGGAGGCTGTTTTTCAGTTTATATAGTAACTCACATTTGTGAAGAAACATGAAACAGACAATTCAACATCTCAGTATAATTTGCATAACGGTTCCTGCAATTTCAAAACAAGCGCAGAAGCAGTCAGTTACAAGAACGCCCAAAACAGATGCCAACATCTGCAATTAGGAGTCTTTCTAGACTGTTGAGTTACTCAGCATGCAAGCTCACTCAGTTTGTCTTCTACCTGCGAAGACCTAAGCTGAAGAAGAAGATACTGAATCTACACAATGGGATTAGGTAACAAAAAAATATGTCATTTGATGCATGTCTACTTTCTTACTTCACCTTGATTGGTCCCTTGAAACGTGTTTATTTATGCTAAGTAATCTCATCCACCTTGTATTTAGCTGTGACACACAGTGTACGTTTCCCAGACCTGAAGAAGAGCTCTGTGTGAGCTTGAAAGCTTGTCTATCTCACTACCAGAAGTTGGGCCAAAAGATATTACCTCACCCACCTTGTCCCCCTACTTTCTTAATCTGCATATGTGGGAAACCAAGTCTTAAGAACAACATTTGCTAAGCACTACCTGCGACAGACCCAGTATCATATTTAATGATGAATTAATTTACCCGACGTTAAAGGACATAAAACAAAGATTCTAAACTGACTTTTCTGTACAAAGATTCGTCTCTGAACAAACCATTTGTGCGCTCAAATGAATTCCCAGTGTACAATTTTCTCTCTATGAAGCTCAGCCATTTCTCAGATACTCTGCTATTAAAAATCCTGGAACCAAAAAGGAAGCCTGAACAGTTTGGTACAGCTAATCAATTGACCTTTTCCTCACAATAATAGCATTCATACAGTCCATCATCTGTTTCAGAATATCCATTTAGCCACAGTATTACTGGCAGATACACAGCCAAACTAGGAGGCAGGGACTTCAGCCAAATTTGTTCTTTACTGTGACCAGGCAGGGAATACAGTGCAGATGGAAAAAGAGGGGACAGAGCATAAACCACACATAAGCTAACAAAGAAGACTCAATAAATACAAAATGAAAATGGAGGTATACATTTTCCAATTCATTGTGAAAACAGTTTCTCATAAGAATCTGTATTTTTAGGACTTCATATTTGAGTGGATACACTAGCTATTTAAAGCCAGATCTTGCCCTGATCAAGGCAGGTCAAAGTTGGGCAGAACACTCCAAGAGTGAAATCCTGGCCCCATTAAAGCCAATGGAAAAACTCCTATTTCATTCCACAGCTCTGAAGTTACACAGACTGCCCCATCCTCTGGGGGGGATCCCTCACTACAGAAGTGGCCAGGGACAGGCCCTCCCAACCCACAAGCATTCTGGGATCCACAGGCAAATTCTGTTTACTCAGGGCCTCTGTGCACCTCCTGCAGTAATACATCTGCTGTGAACTACACTGCCAAGGGCTCAGCTGCTCCTCCTCACAGTGTGAAATGGCGTCCAGGCAAAACAACAACAGGATGAACATTATCTTATGCTGGAAAGTCTCTATGCGTCTGAAGGTGATTTCACAGAGATAGACTCTTTTCCTGCTCCATCCCTCAAGACCTAGTCATGCCCCCCAAAACAATGGAATCCAAAATGCAAGAAGCATTTCAATAGTTTCAAGGCAGGAGTTATGCTGGGTTATTTCACCCTCTTCCATCTGTCAGAATTTTGAAGAAATGCACTTCTTTGGCCTGAGAAACTTACCCTTAAGGGAAGCTGTGGATACAGCCCCCAGTTTAGAAAGACCTAGAAGTGCAAGACCAGTGAAGCTATGCTGCCAACAAGGAGGAGAAGGGAAGTATCAGGTAGATCTACAACCATTTCAGTGGCACAAAACCTCTGTGCCTTCAGTGAATCCAAAAATGTTAAGGGTTTAAGAAGCCAGACCCTCATTTCCTTCCTAAAGAAGGGGGAAGACTGAAGAGGGAACTCCATAAGGTGGAACCTTGTGGAGGCTCCTGTCCTATACAACAGGATTACTGCAGTGGGGAGGGAGTGGGAATTGAGCCCAGCTTATTTTACTAATATATACAAAATAGAACCTTGGTGAAGATGCTGAAACATATGATAGAATTATTTGCAAGTCAATGTATGTAAACATATAGGACAGGAATATATCTATGGATGTGTGTATATACACGTTAATATATATTTGTATTTATAATGAAAGCAGTTTATGTTTCTTGCATTTACAAAATATACATAATGCATGGACTCATTCAACCCATCACAGATTTCAAAAATATACTGAAGTAATGCTTGCATTACAGATACATGGCAAGTGCTGGAGAGGGTACTCACTAGCAAGCTGATGCATGCAGGGGGGAAAAAAAACTCTACAAAAGGAACTTCTTGCTCTATCTGGCAGAAAAGCCAAACAGACCAAGCTTGATGAAGCAGTGGATACCCATGATAGATATTCTCCTGGCCTCACATAAGTAGTCTCGCTTCAAGCCACACCACAGATAGATTGTGGTTTGCATAACTACAAAATCAGCTTCCACTTACCCTGGTTTTTTAAGGTGTCCATCAGTGTCTGAGTGATGTTTGAGAGAGCGGAGAGTGGTACACGTTCACTTGCCAATATGCTTTCCAAAGCCTGTTAGCAGAAATTTAACAAAATGAAGTATTTCCATTCCTTTTGCTTCATATTACTGTTGAAGCGTTTAAGGAAGCCCATAACAATTCAAGTCAGAGTATTTTTTAGTTACTATTTCCGCTACATATATTTTCACTGTAAAGGTTTTTCCCCTTACAGCACAAATGGATCCTGCAGTGAAGTCACAAATCAACATGAATTCTATGTACTATGTTATAGAAAAAATAAAATAAGCAATGCTGTAAAGCACGAACTTAAGCTCTGTCAATTAGAAGCCATGGAAAGAATTGTTAAGAAAATTGTGAAAGGTTAATGGCTTTATAACCAAGTCTGATCACGTGAAATTCTTTCCCAGATTGAAACTCCCTCTCTCAATATTCACCTGTTTTTTTGTAGCAGGGTATTTAATATCAAGAATTAATTCCTTTGCTTCAGCTTCAACCATGTCTGCAACAAAGATGATCAAGTGATTAATTCATATTTTCAACACGGATCTTGAAAAGCAAGTCATTCTGCACCACAGCAAAGATGCACACTTCTTTACATTTTAATTGTTTGGTTTGACATGTTTGGGCTAACTGCCACCATTAACTTGGAAAAAACTCACACCAACTGCAGTGTTGTTGTAGCTGTGTTGGTCCCAGGACATGAGACACGCAAGGTGGGTGAGGTAATATCAGAAGTAACAGTAGTTTAGGGTTACCATATTTTAATAGTCCAAAAAGAGGACACTCCATGAGGCCCTGGCCCCGCCCCAGCCCCGCCCCTTCCCTGCCCCGCCCCTTCCCCAAAGTCCCTGCCCCAACTCCACCCCCTCCCTTGAACGCTCCGTCACCCTGCTCCTCCCCCTCCCCTGCTTCCCACAAATCAAATGTTCGCGGGAAGCCTGAAACAGGCAGGCAGCAGGTAGGCTGGGGCGCGAGGAGGCGCAGCCCAGTCCGGCCCCACCAGCCGAGCGGCTCCCTCCGGCGGCCGGCCCTGGCCAAGAGGGTCTGGCCCCGGCATCTCTGGCCCGGCTCGGCTCGGGCCCTGGGGCGCCGGCCCCGGCCCTGGCCGAGCAGCGCTGGCCGGCAGCCAAGCACCCCCAGCCCCGGTCCCAGCGGCTCCAGACCAGCTCGGCTCGGGCCCCGGCCCTGGCCCTGGGCGAGCAGTGCCAGCCAGCGGACCGAACACCCCCAGCCCCGGTCCCAGTGGCTCCGGCCCAGCTCGGCTCGGGCCCCGGTTCCGGTCGAGCAACTCCGGCCCGGCCCGGCCTTGGCCCTGGCCCAGCGGCGCCGTCCAGCCCCAGCGGCCCCAGCCTGGACCCAAGCCCCACGACCCCTCCCTATTTTCCTGGACATGTCCGGCTTTTTGGAATTTCCTCCCGGATGGGGATTTGAGGACCAAAAAGCCAGACATGTTCGGGAAAATCCGGACGTATGGTAACCCTACAGTAGTTGGTCCAATAATAGATATTACCTAACCACCTTGTCTCTCAGAAACTGAGAGGCATGTATCATTCCAGATTTGCCTCTTTTGTAAGAAAAATTACATATCGGAACAAGGGTGTCTATGTGCAAAAGGTGAAATCCCTCCTAATAATAATAATAATTAATGGAGATATCCTATCTCCTAGAACTGACCTTGAAAGGTCATTGAGTCCAGCCCCCTGCCTTCACTAGCAGGATCAAGTACTGACTTTGCCCCAGATCCCTAAGTGGCCCCCTCAAGGACTGAACTCACAACCCTGGGTTTAGCAGCCCAATGCTCAAACCACTGAGCTATCCCTCCCCTCCTACGCCATGCAGATGGCAAGCATGGACGCTACACACCATTTAAGCACTCAAAATAGAGCTCAATTAGGACTTAAGTGGTGAACTGGGCTTGTGCTGGCTCTTTGTACAAGAGTGGATTTCACCCAAGGAATCTTTTAAAAATATACAGGCTATTTGCAAAAGTCATGGCATAATTCATGCTAATATGCACTAGGAGCCTTCCAAACTAATTTTACCCTGGCCTGTGGGAGAACCTCACTTTTAATACAACTGAACCATGGGAGTGCAAAAAGTACTAACAAAGATACTATTAGTGGGGCTGCGACTGCTCTATAGAAGATGGAAATATAGTAATTTTTATATTTCATTTCAAGAGGACTCTTCAGATTTCTTTACTGTTGCACACAATTGCTCTAAAATTAAAATGATGTGCTGAACACCTCCAAATAACCAACGTGAGAAGGACACACTGTACAGCGCACTGAAAATTTACCTTTTTATGCTGTTTTGCAGGTCTGCACAATCCAGATCCACTGAGCTAGTCAGCTGCTGCCGCTCACATCACATACACTACTGAACTCTTCAAGAGAAAGTACTGCCTGCCCCCTAACGCTCCCCAGATACAGCACATCTCCAACATTGTTGGGTTTTTTTGTTCTTGGTTAAAAAAGTATTAAGAAATTCATAATTCTACTGAACATTGTTTAAAAAAACAAGGATTATTTGCATCCCATGATCAGACAGCAGTGGCGCTCAATAGTGAATACAACATCCCCAGCAGACTACATGGCAGATAATTTGAGACTTATCTAGACTGCAGATCTGTATAAAGAAATGAACATGAACTGAACGCTCATCTTAATCTAGTTTTTTGAAGCACTCAGCACAATTCTAACCTGATTTTAATATAAATTTGAATAGTAAGTTTGCAGGTCTTCTTTCAATATGCAAACAAATTCACTTACACCTAATGAACATTTAAGATGGCAAAATCTACAGGTGTATCTGTATGATATACACACACACTAGGAATACAGGGTGCATATTGTGTGATTCAGTAGGTGAGACATTAAGAAATAAACATTTAGGAGAAACCTACCCAGATTTGAGGTTTTAGCTTTGAGTAAAGCACTTAACTTCTTCACTAGATGCATATCTTTTGCTCGTTCACTCTTTTTATCACTGAAAAAGATTTTTAAATATCTCATATAAACACACACTGAAATATTCAGTGAAAAAGTTCGGTCTGCAAATTTTATTTTTGTTACTTTTGAATTACATCATTGGTGAAAGCATTTTTTGTTCACTCTGACATGAAATTAAAACAGTTACTAGTTATTCTAAAACTCAAGTATTAAGTCATATAAAATAATCAGACATTTCATTTTCCAAGGGCCAGATTTCACCATCATTACTCACATTGAGTACACCTTACTCCACACAAGTGCAAGAGACTACTCTTGGAGTAATGCAGTACTCAGCATGAGAAAGAATCGCAAATTCTGGCCCTCTGGAACTAAAAACGAATTTCAAACACTTATCAAAAGACTTCCGTTAAGAAGAGACAGTTAAGGTAGATTATTATATAAAACGCAGCTAACCTTACCTTAGTGCTAAATGGAAAGGTACATGAACAGTTTTTATGCTTCCAGACACTGGATCAACAAGACAGATCTGGTAAGTCTGAGACTGCCAACCTTGACTAGTCATATTGTTTAAACCCATTATTTTATAGCCAGGATACAGCAACCTGAAACAAACACACAGATATAGCCATGACAATGAAGACTGAAATTACCAAAATGCATTTTTTGTATAAGACACAAGGAAGAATTTCACACAGCCACGGCCCAGCACAACTAATGAAAAACATCAGAATATCTAATTAGTGATCTATGCCAGCAAAGATTAGTTGGGGGGGTTAGCAGTGGAGAGGGAAAAGGAAACATCTTCGTTCATAAATAAGTGCACTCTGCACTGCATTCAAGCAAGTATCAGAGGCATCGTCAGCAATTTAAAACCAGTCTACCAGCACTTGTCACTGTGGGCACTGGAATAAGACTGCCTGATAGGCAGGAATATGTCTGTTACACACTTATTTACCCCATAGCACAGCGTACTTGTCAACATGTCAAGATGCTAAGCATTTCTTACCTACAGTGTTTCCCTACATTGAAGGCACCAACCCGGGGTCCTTGCTGAGTGCTCCACACTTCCAGGATTCCTCTTCTTGGAGCATAGATCACAAGAAATTGAGCCACTCTACTTGGACTTCGAGTACTTCCAAAAGGAGAAAAATCCGTCTTTTCAGCTTCTCTTTCGTGAAGGTCTTCTACAGTCTGAATCCAACCAATTTGTGCATCACGATATCCTTTGTAAGAAAGGACAGGAATTAGTCAACTAGTTTACACAAACACACACAATTGAAAATTGTCCGCTCCTGGAACAGGGTTTATATAAGTGTTGGGTGGAAGGCTATTGTACCCTCCCAAAAATTTGTATTGTGACCACCTAAAATGCTATTTAACAGTAATATAAGCACCCTTTCCCAGCCTACATACCATTACTCACATTTACTTCTCTAACACATTGATTGGGCCAATTTCTCTTTCTCCCCCCTACCAAGCTCTTCTGACACAGAAAATGGGGTGCCTTCCCGGACAGTGCGAACTTGATCAAGTCACCAGGATTGTATGTGGGATTTAGCACACAGAAGTGACATCAACAAACCCTCCCAAGCCTCACTCAAAACAAGTTTTAAAACTGAAGTATAATTTAAATTGTGAGTTTTCTAAAGCGCTCGTGGAATAAGCGAAGAGAAAAGTAAAGTATGATTTCAGTTGACTATCTCCTTACCATGTGCTTGTCTCAATAGAAAATGCATGCAAAACATTCAGTTGTTAAACATTTGTTAGCAGTTTACAACTAAAAGGACTTGGGGAGGGGGAGAGAGAGAGCGCGCGCGAGCATGTGTGGCTCACATCACCCTTTATTAATAAACAGGTTTAAGCAACTTGCTGTAAATGCTGGGAAACCTGGCAGACCAAGCTGTTTGTTTAGTAAATGCTTATTCAAGTGAAAAATATAAAGATAGTAAAAAACCAAACAAAACAAAAACAAAAACTTGATCATGGAAAGGTGTTAAAGGTAACATGAAAAGATCAGTAACACAGAAGAGAAAAACGGTGAATGTGTATATCTGAACTAATAGAGAAGCACCAGATAAACCCCAACTACTGGGGAGAGTAATGCACAGGCGATACAAGGAGACTGCAACCATTATGCTACGGTAGCTGAAACAGAGAAGCTAAACAGCCTGGGGGGAATGTGGAAATAAAGGTTCCTTCACCCCAACCCACCCCGAGTTCTAGTGGAGTTCCCTGAATATAGCGCACGTACTTGTGCTCAGTGCATCAACAAGAATATGAGAAAGTTTGCTTGCAAATTTGATTTCTGTCGTTCCTGAGTGACTCCTGTTTTGGTTTCCCTTCTTAGACCTCTCCACAGCATTGGGCCAATTACAATGGCTGTCTGGAGAGAAATGAGACTCCACCATGCTTTCCCTGTAGACTTGATTTAGGAAAGTCAGTATCTCTGGGCTAAAGTAACCTTGAATGGGAGAGGGAGAAGTGACATGCATGGAATACTGTGTTTACACTGTGAGGGCAGAGGGAGGACAGAGTGCTGCTAGAGATATTTGTAACTTCACAGAAATCAGGTCCAGGCATAAAAGGGGGGTGGGGGCAGGGCCGGCTCTGGCTTTCTGGCCACCCCAAGCAAAAAAATAAAAACCTGCAGCACGGCCGAAGCCAGCCAGGGTGCAGGGGGACTTCCTACCCTGCAGATGTGCCCCAGCTAGCGGGGGGAGAGAGAGAAGGGGGGCGGCCAGGACTTCGCTGCCACACGGCCCCTCCCGCCATGCCCCCTGCCAGGAGGGCTCCGCACCGCTCCGGTCAGCTGGGAGGGAAGGACGTGGGCTGCCTTGCCAGGCTTGCTGCAGGACGCTCCCGTCCTCCACGCCGATGCCCCCTACAGGGCGGCCGGAGCGGAACCAAAAAAAAAAAAAGAACAGCCATGCTGCCCTAGGATTGGGCGGAATGCTGCCTCCTACAAGCTGCCTCCCCAAGCACCAGCTTGCTCAGCTGGTGCCTGGAGCCGGCCCTGGGTGGGGGAGGGTACAAAAATGTTCTTCTACAAGTCCTATCCGCGGGTTGTAATATTGGTTGTGATTGCTGTTGGAGTCTTGGAGATGGCAATATCTGCATCTCCTCTTTCCCGCAGAACAGCTGGGGCAGAGAGATGAGACGGATCGCTCTCTCTTGGAATAGCCTGCAAGAGACGCTGACCCAACAAAGCAGTAAGCATGTGGAACGGTCTGTCCTTCCTAGTGATTTTCTCATCCTTTTTGTGGCACATAAGATAGGGGAACCAAATGCTGCTGCTTCGTCTCTCAACTGAGGCAAAGAAGAAACTGGAGCTGCACAAATCTTGAATGAATGAGCTCAAAACTCTTCAATAGAATGACTGGATCAGCTGCTGCATGCTGTGGTAAGGTCTAGAAAAGGAAATTCAGGCAATACACCTCAGTTTCTGAGGTTGTTGATTAAACCTTACTGTAAATCCCACCAATAATATTTTAAGGTCCAGTTCTATAACTCTGCCACCCTTGAATTTATATTAAATCTGTTTGAGAGATCAGAACAACAAGTGCATGATAAAGGCCAAAATACTCAGAATTCTAAGACAAATTGAACATAAACAGCCACACCATTTCCAAGCAAACTAATTGCTTTATTGAACATGTACCTTTCCACATGCGAATGGCAAGTCCTCGTGTAACATCCAGTAAAAGAACTCTTCCAAAGTCATCAGTTACTGCTGCCAACGAGTTACATGGAGACAGACATATGCTTTCACCATGGCGCCGGGAATCTGGAAGTCCAAACCTGAAATCAAACACTCAGTTAATGAATATCAAAAGATACTACATTAATTACTTTAGAATTATGAACAGTACCTTTTGCAGGATTAGAGAAATACTTTTTTCTAGGATGTAGAAAGGGTGGGTGATTTGTTTTTGTTAACAAAAACAGAAAGTGCATTTTGCTATTACAAAATTTTGTGCTTTTATTTACTTTGAGTCCTTGCAACTTTATGAAAGTTTCACTATAATCATATTATAAACTGATAAAACATGAAAGGTCCCGTAAAAGTTCCGAGAGCAGGCTAAGTATGTTTAACGTCCCTAGTGCCTTGGCATGCAAGGAGTCTCTGCAACGGGTGATCTTGTTGATTCTTTCCTATTGCTGACCAGAGCCAGGCATACCTAGAGACACAGCATGGCCCTAGTGTTTAGAGCAGGGGCTAGGAATCAGGAGAATTGGATTTAATTTCTCAATTTGCTGCTGTCTTTTTCTGAACCACTAGGCAAGTCACACCCTCTCTGTGCTCCAGTTTCCCTAACAGTAAAATGAGGATAATGCCTGTAAGTTATTGTAAGGAACTTTTACAACCTTGCATGCAAAGCATTTTGTACCATGAGAGTATTTACAAGATTGCTCATACAGCTCTGTTGAGTCACCTGAACTGTAAACTTTAGGCCTCCTGTTCCAGTACTTAACCTACTCAACAGTGATTCTCCTGCTGCTAAACTAGGCAGGGTCTTGTTTTCTCTCTCTTTTTTTTTTTTTTTAAGAGGGAAGCGGGAACAAATGCATGCTGAGAGCTAAGTAGAGATCATTAAATTAATTCCATTTATAAACTAAATCAACTGAAACCAAACTCACATTTAAAAAAAATCCCAGCACAAGATTACCACTTTCAAAAACTATTCAAGACAATCAAGGAACAGAACTTGGGAGCAATTGAGGAAGTAGGTGTCAAACTTGCCTCACAGCTAAAGGGGTAGCAGGTTCAACTTTTGGTTTCTGCTTTTGGACAGCCTCTTCTTCATGTTTACTCTTCCAACCAAGCCAGCCACTTGCAACAGAAAAAGTGATCAGCAGAATGCCAATGACTGCACAACTTAAGATACGCAAGTTAAAACTAAATCAAAACCACACTTTATTTTGCATTTCATTACCTGGCAGCATTAAAGAATGCTGAAGTCAGTTTACTAGCGACTGCTAATGCAACATGAGACAACAATGGCTGCGTGCTACCCTGAAGGAAAAAACAAAAGCATTCTTAAAAAGCAACAAGATAATTCCTTAATGTCTCTTATCACTACCTAATGAGAGCTCAAGTGCTGAAACACACTAAACACTGACTAACTCCAGCAATGAAAAAAAAAATGCACTGCAGCCAAAGTCTTGAAAGAGATGTTGCCAAATTTGACATCATCCACATTAATTTTCAATACAAGTATGTGATAGTTTCTCAGTCAGGTAGAAAAACTACAGATGATCTCAACTATGTAGGCCTCATAGGCTCGGTACTAGGAAAGTCGCTAGAGGTTCAGCAAGATCTCAATTCAATGTCCCTAAAAGGATGTCATTCCACACCTCCAAGTCCCAACTTGCTGTTTCAGAGGCCCACTGAGAATCTCTGGTCGCCTAGTACTATATGGTGCTACAGTAAAGGTTAAAAACTACAGTCTGATGCTTCATGGAGAGCAAGCTGGTTCTATGGTGTTGGGTTCCTTATTGACACCAAAATAAGTACATTTTCTCACAAATGTTTTTCAAAAACGTAGCTGCACAACATTCTGATATTGCTTTGGTTTTGTTACCTTGTTGATCTAGATAATGAGATTACACTCTGTCTTGTATGGTTCAAATATACAGAAGATAAACAGGAACATAAATATAGCCATGCTTTTTTACCAATATATAAAGAGTACATAAATATTTTGTGAAAGGGTCATGGCAAGCAAAATAATTTTAATTCTCTACTACAATGGCTACAAATAAGGTAAAAAACAAACTGGGGCAAGAGGAAATCAGGCTACAGAACACTCCCAGTGCCTCGATATAACAGGGTAAAAGTCCAAGTACCTCCAGAATCCAAAAGAATTTGAAAATTGGATTATGACATATGATCTAAAACTTATTTTTAAGTTTATTTCCTTAACCATGAAAGAGTAGTTAGTGGAAGACAAAGTCTCAACTAACAAAATTAACATTAAAAAAAAACGTTTACTATATTAAATTTTTTTTTTTTTATTTTAAGATTTTTTAAAAGTTAGAGGTCTTGGATGGCAGGAATCTGGAGCACATTTCACAAAAAAACCATTCCAACCCAAAGGGATTTTTCCCAATTATAGGTAAATTCTGAAGACTGAAGGAAAAAAACCTGCACAAACTGGGGTAAATGAAGTATTCTTCAAAAATAGCCTTTTTAAAAAAAAATATGAAAAAGAAAAGGATATTAATTCTCTCATCTGCCACTTGGGACAAATGGATTCTTTTATCATGCCCATTTCATAATACATACATACCTCCAGGGCATAAAAGAAACCAGTGAAAGGATTGGAGCCTACAGTAATGTACTGAGACATAGTAGGTGGACTATTCTTTATAGCTGCATTATAACCACCTATATTGGAGGCAGTCTTCATTTGATCAAAAGGAGACAGAGTCATGAGACCTAATACAGAAAAAAAAATTAATACTTAAAAGTCATGTAAAGTCAATATAAATGGGTATTTCAGGCTCTTGAATTCTAAGTCTACTCATGCATCCTTGGCTGAACAGTCATAACTCTAGAAAAATACAAGCTCCGACTTCATTCACATCTGGTTCTTACACACCATATATAGCTGTATTATTGGATATCTAAAACGGATTATACATTTTAGTAAGGAAGTCACATACCAAGATTTGAAATCAACTGACCATTTTTATTTCAAACAAACCCAGTAGATGCAACAAAAAAAACCTACTTGCGATTTGTTTTAATTTTAAAGATTTCCATTTTTATTTTTTGAGAGCCCACCTCTCTCCAAAGGCAAGCAGAGGGGGCCTGGTCCATCTCCCTCAACTATCTGCCTGTCTGTGATGGAGGCCTGGAGACAAGCAAACATCCTCATATCCCCAGAGTCATAGTGTGGAAAGAGAATATAGGCCTGCTATGTCACCTCTGGAAATAAGTCATCTGAACCTTTAAGTGTCCTGCTCCCTCTGCTGCAGGCAAGGTCTGCACTGGTCTTTATCCTTCCTGCCAGACAGTCCTTTAATCCACCACATAGGAGGACACTGAGTCTGACCCAGTCTCACTCAAACTCAGTATTAGGCTGCCCCCTTCCAAAAGAGAGAGGAAGAACAGAGACCATACACAGCCACTATTTCCTCATCCCTTCTAATGGGAGAATCAAAGCCTTCTGATGCTCTTAAGCTCATCCTTTAACCTTCTTCAGCTAAGCTCTATGCGTTTCCATCCAAATGTTACCATAGATCAATATTCCAACATGCATGGTAATCCTTTAGTCTTACAGCACTGACAAAAGAGGTTTCATCCAGTTGAATGTTTGAAAATAAATGGTAATGCTTACCCACACTGGCATGGTCAACTATGGAGTCCACATCCTGCAAACCCCACTTCTTATAGGCTAATGGTGGGGGTTGTATGTTCTCATTGCCAGATGCTGCAGCTGCCAATGTTATAAAAATTGAGACATAAGTAAAAAGCTATTAGTTCATTAGATTTCTTAAACAAATATTCTGTCATGTCAGCTCATGCTATAATGCTTTATATGGTCAGTAACAGAGTGAACACTAAGGGAAATGCCAGTGGAAAAGCATTTAGTATTGTGATTAATAAGACATTACATACAATAACTTTACCTACAGGTTTTCATAGAAGCATTGTCAGACTTTTTTGTACAATACATTTAAGGACATGCTGCGCAAAATTAAAATATGAACATTTTTTCCATTTTGCTGAAATTAAGACACTTAATAAAATTTAGCTGGACAAAATTTCATTCACAACATCCAGCTATATTTGTAAAGACCAAAATAAATTAATGGAGATAATTTATCTTATCAGTTATTTATGGTTTAATAAATGTTCCAGAACAATATTGGTCCTTCTCCTGGTAGTGAGTGTCATTATGGGAGACAGTCTTGTGCAAAACATAAGTAAGCAGATTCTACAAAGATCCACATTCACAGGATATGCGACAGTATGCTTTAGTTATACTTGAGTTGTTAGCAATGTTCTCATCTCAACCTGTTTGCAAATTTAGGACAATGCATATGCAAGGGATTAGCATGTGAAAGATACTGGAGTGCTTTTATTGCAAGCATTAAAGTGTGGCTAGATCTAATTGCTCTCATTTTTGAACAGTGATAATTTCTCAGACAGTAACAGAAAGGCTATGCTTTGGTGGTAGGGAGTGGCTATAGCTAGAATTAGGGTCTCTGTCTTGGCTGGTGGGACACAGTATAAAAAGGAACACTAGTCCTCAGTGTAGTTCTGCACAAAGGTCTCAAGGGGTGTCTGTGGGGCCATTAGAGCGACTGCCTGAATTGGCACCTGACCTTGTTCAATGACTCTCTTGGTTCTTAGCTGAGGGGATGGGAGCCTTCACTCTTCCTTGCCCTGCATGGAAATACTCTCCTCTCCTGAGCCCCAGAGGAACCAGCCCCCCCACCCCCACCCCAGCACAGTGCCAGCCTTAACCTAACAGCGCTGTTGGCCCCACAATTCCTGCTGGCAGCTCCATTATGGTTCCTCTCTACTCCTGGCCTAGTAATGTGCCCATTCCCTGTCACTGGTTCCTGGTGGAAGGCAGAGATTGAGAACAGGCAACAGAGAATTGGAGCACAGTAAGAGGCAAAATCAGGAACCAGCAGTGAGAAACCCTTCCTCCATGCAGCACTCCATTATTTGATGGTTCTCCCTTAACCCCAGGAAACTGACCAGTTCCCAAGGTGCAGCACACTTGGATTAGCCAAGCAGCAGGGCAGGTTGTCAAAAAGATTGAAAGGAGTAAGCATTTTTCCTTCACAGAAAGAGCTAAAACAGCCTTCAGGGTTTTTCATATCTTAAAGGGATATGAAACCATTTCAACCATTAAAATATGAAGAGCATCTGCCCACAGCAGAATCACTGTTATGACGTCAGCACTTCTCAAAACCTTTCCTAAAAGGAAAAATACTCAACTAAAACAAAAAATCACTAAGTGATCACTGTGCTGACCCCTCTAGACATTGATAAGGCGCATCTAAGATGGCTGTGTACTAGCAAGTCAAATCTTCTCCAGTCAACAGCTGTGTTCTGAGGAAGTGTATTTCTCAAAAATATTTTCCTTCACATAACTATAAGCTATATAAAACTGACAAACCATATTGGCTTCTACTGCAATTGGCTTCTGATACAATTAACATGAATTTTAAATGATTTTGTATTAACATACAATGTAACAGACAGACTTCTGTAAGTATAGGCAGTCTTTGGACTTACGACACAATTGGTTCCCGAAAATTGCATCATAAGGCGAAACATCGTAACTCAGAACCGCAATCCACTCCACTGTGGGACAGAACATCGTAAAGTCTAAACCAATTGTCGTAAGTCGAATTAGAATGTCAATTCAGAAACGTCGTAAGTGCCTTTCGTCATAAAGTCGAGGACTGCCTGTACAAGTACTACTGTAGTCACAGCAATAGACAGCTTCTCTCAGGCTAGGTCTACACTACCCGCCTGAATCAGCGGGTAGAAATCGACCTCTCGGGGATCGATTTATCGCGTCCCATTGGGACGCGAC